ATTATATGACTCAAGGACCCATCCCCATCGATATGTTTCAGACCCTTTTTCTAGTCAAGACCTTTGTCAATGGATCCGCAAGATTATCTCAATGTGTAATGTAACTAGTTAATAACTCCATTGCTCAAATAATATCTCACAATACTATGTTTTCTTCTTATAGGTATGGATTTATCATTATAAAAATATTTTTTCACTCTACCAATTGTAGTAGTGCTATCACAATTATTTAAAATTGAAGGTATTAGTTTCTCCCACATTGCAATCTCATATAAACAAATATCTGAACCAACTTACTTCCTCACTAGCTGAAACTAAATTATTTGTTGACAATAATTATTTGTTTTTTATATTTCCAACAAATAGCAGTACTTTCCATGGTAAATACATACCCAGTAGTTGATAAAGAATCATCAGACAAAGTATTCCAGTCAGTATCAGAAAATCGTTCAACAACAGTATGATATTATTTATATAATAAACCATAGTCTTTTGTGCCCAATAAATATTTCATAACACGCTCGATGGCATACATATATAACTAATTAAATATACATTCACAATGCATAATAATTAAACAGCAAAATAGACCGATCTTTTGCTTCCTATAAGAAACGAAACAAAAAAAAATATATATATTCTTCCGACGCCTAGGAGCTACAAGGGTTGCTCTCGGGAAAAAACTGCACGCTGGCAGCCCCTCAGTCTTCTCAGCACAGACAACGCCTAGGCGCCGCCCCCAACACCGAGATGTTGTCTGCTCGGGTTGCACGGGGAACCTCCAATTTTGCTTCAATTTTGTGGCACTCTTTCACAGAAACTCTTTTTTGGGTGTGTTGTCCTAAACTCCTAGTTTGTATTTATGTAAAAACAAATTTATACTCAATAAAGTTATGGTTTCTTGTTCAATCAATTTGCGGTTGAATTTACTTCATTGCATTGTCCAAATCTAATAAATTAAACATCCAAAGTTATTATAATATAATCGGAACAGTATATATACTAGGTATATATTTGATATATCCTCGATATACATGTGGATAATGTCCCGGGAATAACCTAAGGGGTATATAGTATATGGATAAGGCTGGGTACCTTATCCTGGCAACACTATGGATACAGCTCGCTTTGTAAATGTTACAGGCGACCTTATCCGGATAGTTCATGTGAAGACATGTGATTGAGAGTATCTTATACAATGAGTTTGTATATAGTCGGACCGCGAAATAACTATTCTTTAGATGTAACGTCATTGACTAACATATTGCTATTTCATGAGATGACCAGTCAACTCATTATCAATCCTGAGTGAGTTATGGACTCCTACCAATGATGGCTTGTCATTTGATCTGTATGGACGAGAGTGTCCGGAGTCACCGACTCAACATTACTACCATTTTGAGGACGAGATCAAGTGGGGAGATAAGAACATATATACACAAGATGGAATTCACTAGTTCCTGACACTAGGGATGTAGATGTGTGTTCCCTTATATACTGACTCCAGGACTTGAACAAGGTGCCCCACCCTCTCACTGGCCCGAGAGAGACTTCTGGTTATTGGTCGGATTATAACCGGATTGTTCGTTAGAGGAGGAGTGGTATTTAAGGAACAAGATGTAACTCAGGGGTAAAACGATAATTTGACCCAGCTTGAGTTACGAGCACTCGTGAAGGCTTGACTTGCCATTAATGGTCGATATACTTGGACACAGAAATATTATGCAGTGAGAAGAGTGCAGCTGCGGCTCTTTAGTGGAGTGACCCATAATTAACGAATTTGATTAATTCGGTTAATGAGTTTGAGCAATTAATCTCGTATCGTTGGAGTTTCTGATCTGTAGGTCCATTACGGCCCCTTGCTAACTCACAATGGGTAAAATGATGATCAAGAATTATGAAATAATTTGAAATGTTGAAATTATATAAGGGAATGTATATAATGTATATCGGTACATATTATATATATATATATATATATATTGGGTTTTATGTCCTGAAACTCATAGTTTGAAAATGCCAGATATACTTTTATCTTTCAATAAAGTTGGTATTGAAGGTTTTAATCAATAAGTAGTTATTGATCCAATAAAATGTTATTACTAGATCTAAATCCAATAAAATAAAGGATCCTAGACTGTTACATGAGACTCAAACTCTATGTAAGAGACATAAATATGGATCAAGTTTGAGTTAACAGTCTAAATGGTCTATAGTATAGGAATAAGGTTGGGCGACTTATTCTGGGAACACTATGGATGCGGCCCACTTTGTAGCTAGTACAAACGATGTGATTCTAATTCGTTCATGTGAAGACATGCGAGTGGGGGTGTCCCGTGCAAAGAGTTTGCATAAGACCGGACCATGAGATAATCACTTTTACTTTATAACACCGTTTACTGTTTGAAACTGACTATCTCGACTTTGATGGCCTAGGTAACTCGATCTTAATCCTGAGCTAATTATGAACTTCTGTTTACTCGGGATTACCCTTAGATCTGCATGGGTGAGAGCAGCTCAACAGCGCTGGCTCAATAAGCCTCCCATTTCAGGGGTAAGGCCCTGTAGATAGCTAGGGACATAGGGTGCAAGAAGGAATTCACTTCTACCCAATTTTAGGATAGTAGAAAGGTTGTTCTCTTAAGGGCTGAATCCAGGTCTTGAACAATAGGTTTTGAGAGGATTTTTGATTTGATAGTTGGACTACAAATCATTGTTCATTAGAGGATCAGTGGGACTTAAGGAACAAGAGGTAATTACAGGGGTAAAGCGGTATTTTGACTTAGCTATAATTACGAACAACTTGTGAAGGGTCGACTTACCGATCATGGTTATATTAAATGGACATAATATATCTACAGTGAAGAGAGTGCAGCTACGGGCTTTAGTGGAGTGACCCAGTAGTTAACGAATGTTGGTTAACTAGGTTAAAGAGTTTAACCGGTTAATCTCGGATCGTTGGAGCTCATAATCTGTAGGTCCATAAGGTCCCCTGGCTAGCTCATATAGGAATAAACTTGGAATAATTTGAAGGAATAATTTGAATCGTACAAATTAGGTTAATCATATGAGATATGATTAAGTAATTGATATATGATATCAATTTGAGATATTTGGACAAAATATTTAAATAGGATTTAAATATTAAAATTATGAATGTGGATTCATAATCGGAGGCATGGATTTCATCAAACATCGGATTTTGGAAAAAGTCAAATAGTTGACTTTGATCAGAGAAAGTCAAAGGTTGACTGAAGTAGATTAAAATAATGTTTTTAACCAAGTTGGTGGAAAATTCCACTAACTTGTTGAGTGGAACATTTAAATAATCTAAAAAATCCACTTTTTG